CAAAAAGAAAAGAAAAAGATGACACATGAGTTCCACGTCAATAAAAAACGGTTTATGTTAACATATGTGATTGTCATGTCACCGTTCTATTTATGATTTAACACTATACTGATCAAAATAGTAATTAGTCTAAAGTTTAATCAGTAAATTAAATCTTTTAAATTTTAATGAACAAATTAAAAATAAAAAGAAAATTCAACGATGAAATGTATAGTTTACATTACTATATAATCCAAAGGAATTTGTCTAAAATCTTATTAATTAATATAGAAAATTACATTCATTGTTGCCTTCATTTTTCATCATCGATCTCGAATTAAAAAAAACATATATATTAAATAGTCTATAATAATAATAAAATAGTATTTACTAAAAAATAATCATTAATTTAATAATAATTAATATTATTTTAAAAAAAAATTAGATTCAAATAACTTATCTGCAATATATATATATAATTATCGATTGCATAAGATATATATTTGGATGCAAAAGTCGTCAACAATGATAATAAATGGGAATTAAAATAAGACGAGATTTCAAACCAGACATGGAAAAAACATTATGACAATCCATGTTCTGCGAGAGACAAAACATGCCTACTTTATATATTATGTATATCTAATTAACCTTAGGCTGCATGAGTGTTTGAATTGATTAACCAACGATACAAGCAAAGGTTTGCATCATCAAATGTTTTTTCATTTTTATCTTTTGCCGCCATTGTTTGGTCGGTCAGTTTAACTCTATACTATATATGCAAATAAATTATTTAAAAATATAGCTGCATGATTGCCCTTGCTAGCTCTAAGCCAAATCAACAATGAAATATATATAATATACGTATTTGATATATGAGTATGGATATAAAATAATGTGAACGACTTTAATTTAGATATAGCTTTTATTATCAAATTGTAAATATTTTAATTTTTCATATATTAACTTTTTTTCAATATCATTATAAAAAACATTTTTTTTTATTTTTGAATTGATTTTCTATGAAACCCATTCTAAATTAATAAAAAATATCTAAAAGTCCGATGTGTTAATATTTTGATTTCCTCCCATAGTTGTTCGATAAGACTTATTTCAAGACATGTTCTCAATCTTCTCAAAAGGATACTTCTCATTATTTGTATTTTCGAACGAATGATCAAAACCTTTCAAATCTGAGAAAGTCCTAAAACCCTAAAAATGATTTTTTTTTTGCTTAGTTTCGTGAGTTTTAGATAGGTTATGAGAAATCTAAAATGAAAAAGTAATAGAGTTTATCATTGTTTAGAGTGACCACAAAAAATGTCAGAAAATGATAATTTCTAAATGTATATAAAAATGGATGGAAAAATGTTAATTTTATAGGTATGATTCAATCAATTTAAAGTTAAGTGATAAAATCGATATAAACACTAGAATTTATCATATTTAATGTAATTTGTCTTATAAAATAACTTTTTTAAAATTTATTGAAATACATGAAAAATGAATATATTCATATCAAATATGTACTCACTTACATTACTCGTATCAAAATTTAAACAATGTAATTCTGAATAATTAAAGTATTCGCAAGAGTTACCTAAGCTATATTTTGGATTTCTTTTTCATTGTTTGGAAAAGAAATTAGGGTTAAAGCAATCAAGCCAAATGTGGACACATAAGCAAAAGTCGTGACCATTTAACGCAAACCCAGGTCTACTTGGTTTATTCTCACGAATTAGAGTTTATCTAACATATCTCTTAGAACAATCTACTGCAATTGCGTGTAGTTTTTAGAACAAAAAGAAGAAGATAAAATACATATAGATATGAGTGCAACGTACCACCTCACAATTCACAAAGCAGTGCATGTGACTGTGATTTTACTCGCATAATTACAACACTAATGGCTGCCCACATGTTGAACTCGATATTGTGTGTAAATAAAGAAACCCCAAGGCCTTGAAAACAATGTTTTTTTTTTGTCACAAAGGAAACGCTCAGAGTTGAAGGCTTCCCGAATCGGGCAGAACAGGGTTGTGTTGCGTAGGTTGTTGCTGTTAGGCACGAGACAGAGGGGCGAATGGTCGGCGGTGAGACAATCTGGGTTCACTTTTAAGGAGGAATTATATCTTTTCCTAAACTAGAAATTCATCAAAGCAGCATCCCGTGCACCAGGGTTCGTGGTATTCATGTTGGGGTGCACTTATTTCTCCCCCATCTTTGTGTGTGCCATGCGAAGGCAAAAGCTTGGCAAGAGGAAACTAGGGTCAGCAAAAAGGCTCGACTCTAAAAATTAGATTTTTTATAATTAAATATAAATTTAAACAACTCAACTCAATTCGATTCAACTTAAAAAAAATTCAAATAAATGTGTTATAAGATAAGAATCATCAACTCAAATTTCTTTTATTGGACTTAACTCGACTTGATCGAATACTCATCTCTAGATAAGTAGATAAGCATGTAAGCAAACCGAACATTCAGTGAATCGTTTGGTGGGAAGTTCGTTTATTTATTAAACGAATGAACATGTACAAAATTTTTTATGTTCGTTTAATTAAATGAAAGAACACGAACAAATGACTCGTTCATTCATTTACGTTTGTGAATGTTCAGTAATTCGTTCTATGTTCGATAATCTATCCATTTACGTTTGACAATTTATTTGTTTATGTTCATTTGTTTAATTTATATTTATCTTCGTTTATTTATTCTTTTTAAGAATTTTTGTTTGATTTAAAAGAAAGTTACATCTTATGTTCGTTTATTATTTTAACGAACGGACATGAGTTAATATGAACAAACTATATTCCTTAATGAATGAACACGAACAAAAGGATTTGTTCGTTTAATTGTCTGTGTTTGTTCGTTTTTTGGATTAAAGTTAAACAAACGAACATGAATATATCCTCGTTCATGTTCGTTCGAGTCGTTTACATGCCTTTTCCTATAATAAGGTTGGAGCAAATAGGGGATTTGACCTGTAAAATTATGAGTATAGTTCTTTGAATTTTAAAGTTTTAAGGTAATACAATGATAAAATTATAATTTAATTCCTTAAACGATAGAATTTCAATCTAATCCTTTTGAAGTTATATAATTATAAGTTAAAACATTATTAGAAGTTTTAATTTTCTTTCCTTATGCCTTCATCTTAGATTATGGCTTTAATTTGAAGAACTAACACAGGTCAGTGTCACCCATATGCATGGATATTGCATGGTTTCCTTGCTAAGCAAGTATTTATATTATATACATGAATAGAACATAAAATATATCATTAATTATTTTTGAATTGTTAATTTTAAAAAAAAAAATAAAACCCAAAATTAACGAAGAATGCGAATTGTTCTAATAAATCTAGAAAGATGGTTTTATTATTTTATTTTCTTTCATGTCATTATATTGATAAATAAAAGAGGTTGACAGGCACTAACATGGACATGTAGGGTTGACAAAATTCCTATATGTGTATGAAATAATTAATTAAGACTTTAGTGTTGGAGGTGGGTGGCGTATCAAACTCTTTCCTTATTTGATTACTTGTTTCTATTTAATTTAAGATAAATATTGAATTATTTATTAAACCCGTCAAACTCTTACTTGAATTTGAGCAATTATGTATGTAAAGCATATATGTATTATTAATAAGTTAAGAAAATTCTAAATAAATATTACTTATAATCATATCAGACTATTCAAAATAAAGATAAAAATTAAATTATGAAACAGAAAAAAATGAAATAATATGTATAATTATTGATCTATAAGATCATATGTGATGGTAAAGTTTATTATATATTTTAAACAAAATTATGTTTAAATTTTTGAATAAAATATTATTAAAATTTGTAAATTCCGAACATGAATCATAAAATGAACACAAAATCTATATATATATATATTGATTGCCCACATAATTTAATGAAGTTTGGTGTTAGAAAATGAAGTTTAGCTAAATCCTAATTTATTTACTTTTTTATCTAATATAACTTTATAGATTATCTTTAGGGAAAATATAATTTTATTTGGTCAAAAAATAGATAAAAAATTAATTGATTAATTTCCCAATTGATGATTTAATTAATTTATTTTCAAAAATTCAAAGGTCGAGTAAAAAAAATTCAAAAGTTTTTTTTATTGTTACTACATTTGTTGGGTCATTCATCTCTCTTAGGCCTATAGACCCAGACAAAAGTAGCCTTGGGAAGTTTAGGCCTATAAACCATATTTAAAGGGTTTACAATCAGCTACTAGAATTATCCATGCACTTCATCCAGTTATAACAATCCTAGCCACCTAATATGACAGCTGGAAGGCCTAAATAACAACCTGCCAACATTCTCCCCGCTTCCCCACATTCTCAGAAACATCTAACTTTTGTCTAAACATCTCAAAATAGGAACGAGATAAAAGTTTAGTAAGACCGTCAGCCTTTTGAAACTTGGCTGGAACATAGTTGATAAGAACACTCCTAGAAGCAACCTTCTCCCTGACAAAGTGAAGACCCAACTCGATATGTTTCGACCGAGAATGTAAAATCGGACACTCAAGCCTGAAGGGGTTTGTGCCGCATCTTTGCCAACAACCATGGTAAGTTTTTTCTCTTTTTCAGGATCCTTCGTCTTTTTCTTGTTTGTAGTACTCATGCACGCATTAGCACATGAACATACAGAATGAATTCGTCTACTTATATATATGGAGAGAGAGAGAGATACAATTATAATGCATGGATGATTCTACCTATACTCTCTCTCACACGCATATGTTCACATACATATATGGATGCATCGAGGCATGCGTGTCAATGTGTGTGCATACATGTGTACTTGTTTATGTCTTGCATTTGTAAATGTGCTTGTTTATTGTCCTTTCAGCATGTACTATTTGGCACCTAAATCATTACATTGAGTTTTAGCATCTTTATTAGCAAAAATCATTAAGTTGTCAGTATACCTTTTGGTAGAAGAACTTTTCTCATCCTTTTCCTAACATCCAGTATATGAACTAACTTTTCAGGGAGTTGTGGCTGGGCTTCTAGTCCAAAATACACTAAAATTCTTGTTGGGATTTGGACATGTTTCTCCCTACTTGGTAAACCATACATCAATCCCTCCCATCTGTGTAAACGGTGTCTCTAGTTTAATCCTTTGCTTTATGTTTGCTGTTCTTACCGGGTTACTAATGGCTTCTGGTGCTTACCTTTGGTTTTTGATAGATTTTTGCTCTGTTGCTGATTGAAGGGATACAGTTCTCTTAAAGATTTCTTCCCAACAATGACAATGAAGCCAAATCCCCAATGTTCAAATACTGCCTGTCTGGAGCGGCAGGTAAGAGAAAGACATCTGTCTTTTCAGTATTTCGGTTTTCTTCTTCTTATGGAATGGATCATTGCTTTGCAGAAAGAATACATTCTTGCAAAGCCAGCCAGGGATGCTGCGACAAAAGCCAAGATGGAGGCTGAAGCCTCAGCTGTAGCAGCAGCAGGAGATGTGCCACTTCATGTCGATAATGAACGGAACATAAGGTACAAATCACAACTCCGGAAGATGGACTAGTGCCATTTTACACAACCTTCAACTCAAATTATGGAAATTAATACTCATTTTATTTTTGGTTTTCAAAGTAATATATTTCTGACATTTGTCTGGATTTACAAATTTATATAATGATTGACTGATGTAATTCCTATGAAGTTAAAAGATGTTATAGATATTTTGCATTTATTGTATTCATGGATCATATCGTTGTATGGTTTTTACTTCGGGAGATTAACCAGCTTATTCAATTTTGTTTTTTGCAGTGTTGTCGATGATAATGAGCAAGAGGAGTGTATTTCTTTTCTATGCTCTGTTTTGAACATTCTTCAAGTTTTCCATTTGCCGGTTTTTCTTTTGTATATGATTGTATCATCTTCTTACTGAGTTCTGAATATGCGAATATAGGTCCTTTATACCAAATTTTTAGAATTAATACGTCCAGTCGCTTGGGCACAGTTTCCATACCAAATAAAAAATAGCCGTCTTAGCTGCTCATCGCCACATGGTAATAGCCGGTAGCATGCGGTTCTCATCCCCTTTATAAAGATTAAGTGTACACCAAAATCTCGTTATGGGATCGGTTTTCTACATTCAGCATGACTGCCAAGACATTTGGTATAAAAGTGCAACGACATCATTCTTGTTTTCTTGATTTAACATACAGATGCACTTCCTGAAGGCCTCACTCATGAGCTCCCAAGTGCCGATGGATTTCAAAAGCTCCAGCCATCGGAGGCCACAGATACCACTATTGATGACCTTGAAGATCTCCAGAGGCAACTTGATGCTCTGAATGCTGATTAATGCCCTGACACAACTTGGTTAGGAACACTCCTAGAGTTTTAAAAGTGTTTTTGGGGGTTTCAACATTCAAGCAAATGATCCAGCCATTCCCAAAATTTTATACCTTTTAGTGTTTAACAGAGTTTCATCCAATCAACAAATCTATACTATGCCAAAAGTTTTGGAGCTTGCAGTCATCTTAAATGAGCATATATTATTTTCTCAAGCATATCTATATTCGATAATCATCCCAAATCAGAACATAAATAGTTACTGTGCTACAGTTACAACATCGGATACAAAATAAGTAACAATCTTGTTTGTCAAGATGAAAACTGATACATGGATCTAAAACTACAGCTCTTTGAACTGCAACAGAATCTGGTCCATCTGTGGCTGATGTTTTCTGACCTGCAAGAGAAAATACAGATTCATTTCAGAAACGTAGTACTCTCATCATGAAGCTTCAATAGTTCAAGATAGATTTACTGAATAAAACTAAGACTGCGGTTTTCATCGAACTGTAGATGAAGGCTTATGTTACCTTAACACCAGCCATTGATAGCAGCTTGCGCGAAGCAACATACACGGTTTCCGTATTCAGTCGTTTTTCTATAAAATATATGACTTCTGAGACACCTGACTGCATGATAGCCAAAGCCATAGCCGGTAAACCACAATGAGGACCTAGCAAGCATAAAGAAGACAAATTGGTTTGAACTTTGAAGTTGGAAACATTGGAACCAAACCTGAATGATTATCTTTGCACATTCATTGCAAGGGAACATGGTCACGTAAAGCCTCTGCAAAATTTTACCACAAGATGGAAGATCCTCTCAGTACCATTACTAGTAAGCCTTTAAAAGAAAGGTAATTGAGTACAAAAAATCATAAGAAAATACTAATATAAAGTTTTCGTACTATATTTTGACTTTGAGTCATTTAAATTTCGAATCATGAGCAGTATCAAGCATTGCTGGTTCATGCATTTAGCAACGCCAGAGAAGTTAACTGACCTGACCAGCTGCAGATGCATGATTTGTATTCAGGATCGCATTGACTTCAGCATGACAAACATAACTAAAACAGATGATTCAAAATAAGTATTGAACTTAAGTATTAAGGACGCATGCAATCAATGACAAAAATGATTTTAGATTCGATGAAAGTAGAAGCAACTAACTCATATTCTGGGCATACAATTTGATCAAAACACAAATCAAGATGCGTGAGAGATCAGGGAAACATGGTACTCACGGATACTTTGTCTCCAGTGGATCTCCAGATTTTGACATCTGAGACATCATTAAAGGCACAAATTTATTACAGGGTCTAGGCCTTAAAAATGTTGGAACTTTGAAGCTTATGCATTCATAACATAAATCAAACCTTTGCCCAAGGAAGCTTGTCATCAGAACAACCTCTCGGGAATCCATTATAGCCTATGCCTGACAAAAAAAAAACTAGAATCCATAAACAATGTCTGCCTTGTATTGCTAACTTCAACTCTTACGATTGCAATTCAAGCAAAAATCTTACCAAGTATTATACCGTTTTGACTCACCAAGCATGCACCAACCTGAAAAAACAAAACAAAACAAATACTAAAATCAAAGTTCACAGTATTAACCTAGTTTTTCAAACAAACATGCCAACTACAAAATTAAGCACTTTGGGTAGCTACGATTATACATGATTTAATGGAAAATTGAAACCTCTTAACAAAAAAATTATGACCTGCCTGTTTGGGTCTTTGGATCTCTTAGCAGATAAGAATGCAATTGACATAAAATAGTCATCCCAAGACATATATCTGCAACAAAACACAAATTACCTACTTTTAAAAATAAAAGTAGAGGAGATTTTGAACCAAGAATACGAATTACAAGTATTTTACTAACCCTTTGCGTTTCGAAGGGTCGAAAGGATCATGAGAGGACCGATTCTTTGAAACGTCGCCGTTTTTGTACGAATTGTTTCGAGAAGATTGTTTACTAGGGTTGGAGAAGAATGTATGGTAAGCAAAAGCAGAGGCTAAAGCACCAAAGAGAGTGGCCGTCGAGACCAGGGCTACGTCTCGACCGTTCATAGGGGAAGCAGGAGAAGGGATTATTCCTGGAGGAAAATGCGAGAAAATCTACGGCAAAAGTTCTACTTCCGCCAGAAAATGTTTCTGAGCTGAGCTTCTAAGAACAGTGGAGGGAAAGTTGAGGAAGCGCGGGAGAGCGCATAATTTAATCCAAAGACGACACTCTTTCTTTATAATTGATATGGCCATCACTAGTTTTGTTTGATTTTATTTTGGTCACCCACTATTTTAAAATTCCAATTATTATTTATGTTCCATTTTAATAACTTAACTATTATTTTCTTAAAATAATGTTTAATACTACGTTTTAGTTTCATTTTGGCCATTCGCCGTTAAAAAATAGACGATGATGCTGATATGTCACCATTAGTGGTGAATCCAAAATTATTTTTTATGGTGGATACATATGTATTAATAATAAAAACTTTTCATATGAGACAGACACAAATGAAATTCCAGGGTGGGTGTTATCATAAGTTAATATCACGTCAACATTGAAAATTTTTAAAAATATCATGTCAATACTTCTGTTAATATTTTAATGGTAGATGATCAAAATAAAACTAAAATGTAACATTTAGTATCATTTTGAAAAAAATAATAGATTGGTAACCAAAAGGGAACAAAAATAATTTTGAAATACTAAACTTGTAGTTTATCCTTTAATTTATTCTATCTATAATATCACGAATCAAACCCTCAACCTTTAAATTAATTAATAATTAATTGGGCCATCTTTAATTTTGAATGCTCGTCTTCTCATATTTGGTCCAAAATACTTCTGATATCACTAAGCCCATTACTTGTGAAGTTGAAATAATAAACTAGTGGCGAGTAAATAAACAAATAAATCGAAAATTAAATTTAATCATAATAATAAGTTTAAAAATTATAATTAAATTAAATTTATATTTTTTATAAAATAAAATAAGTATTTTGTGTCTCAAATAATAAAATATAACCAATAAATAAAAAATAACAGAATTTTAATCACACGTGAATATGATTTTTCATATTTTTTATTTTTATAAAATTTACAATTTCAATATAATTGTTTAAAAGTTTAAGTGACTTTTATAAAACTAAATAATTATAATAACCAAATTTGACATCAATATAATTGTTTTTGAACAATAAATTTAATAATCATGAAAATAGAATATTCGAATGCCTCAAAATAAAAAATAGAGAAAATATGATAAAAGATGGTGAAAGGGAGAGAGAAAAGAGAGTCAAAGTATGAACTAAGCCTTGTTTTGTAGTCGTTTTCATTGGGGAGCTTCAAGGAAGCTCCCATGGCGAATACTTCAACCAACCCATTTACTAAATAATATTATGCTCTTAATTATATTTATATTTCTAAAATTAAATTAAAATTATCATTTTTATAATAAATTTTTACATTATTTGATCTAAATAAATCAAACACCATATATATAATTCTTATGCGGTACTATAATTGTTTATTTTTTATTTAACCAATATTAAAATTATATAAACTTGTATTCTATTTTTTTATTTTTTGAATAGGAGTATGATATTTATGAATAAATTAATGCAATTGGGTGGTTAGGTTCAACTGGAAATTGGTGTTTGAATAGTTTTATTTAAAAGCATAGAAATCCGAATTAATTAAATTTGTTAATGCCAATTTGCACATAAAATTAAGTTTATATTTTATAAAGTTGCCTTTGTCTATTTGTAAGGTCTTAATCAAGGGCATCTCTGTAAAGAGCATAATTTATAGCCTTTTGAATTCATTGTTTATTTGTAACACAGTTATATATATATATATATTTGAGGATTCCATGTTTCATGGTGACTGCTAAGTTTAGTTTCTTGCTAAGCAAGCAACTATTCGTTTTTGTGAGAATTTAGAGCTACAAATTTACAGTCCCAATGAGCTCAACTCGCCATATTGTTTCACAATTCTAAAAGGGTTGACTCCAAACATGGTTTTCCGACCCTCAAGATTCCTTCCACACTCAACTTTGCTAGAAAAATATAATATCTGGAAATGGTCACTATCCATTCAAGAATTTTAAATTCCCAAGCTGACGTTTCCTCTATAATTCATTTCATTTCCTGTTCTGTTATTTTAAACAAAAATCATATCAGAACTCAACTCCCATTTGAATCCATCCCAGGGCAAAACCTTGAACCTCCGACTATTGCACATCGAAGCATATGTTATTCGACTTGGCGAGTGTTGGATTCGAATACGTGTCGCATTTCAGATTCGAATAAAATGAACGGTCTGAGTAACAGAACCTCTAAAGCTCTCTGATATTAACCATTGCTGTTGTCACTGTCGGTTAATCTTTATTCATCAGAATTTCTTATTAACCTTCGATATAAACTCTCAAATGGAGCAACAGATGTTCTAGTTTAACTTGGTATTCTTTTCTTTTTTTCTCTCATTGTTGCATATCTTCCTTCATTGATTGTTCCATTTCTTGAAAAATTCCCCAGTTTTGGTTCAAACATCTGTTTCTCTTGTCCCAATTTTCCATGGTGTATAAGAACAAAAACGAGGTGGTTTCACATGGAGGATCCAAGGTGAAGTAATTTATCCCACAGTTTCTGTAACACACGCTTTTAACCCAGGATTCTCATTGAAGTGTTTTGACCAACAAAATTAGGGTTTAATGGAGAATGAAATCAAAGAATCCCCTTTGGCATCTATGCCCAGATTGCCTATACAGAGTAGCAGACCAAGCAGCATGGTTGTTAAGGTAAACAATTCTTGCCATTTTTTGTTTACTTTTCTTACAAGTTTCTGCAAGTTTCACCATTGAACTAAGTTTTGGTTGTTGCGTATGATGAAAAACAGAAAGCGCATACCGTGATTCCGGCGCATATCGTAGCCGAGGCGATCTCGACGCTTCATGGCCTCGACCTCAGATGGTCGGGGCCGATCACACCGACGGAAAGGGAGTATGTTGAACAATATGTGTTGGCAAAATATCCACAATATGCAGGTCAAGTTGAGTTAGAAAATATAGACCTTTCTAGTCTTTGTATCAATGAAGAGTCCTCTGAGTCAGCAATTGATGATAAAAAGAAATCACCAAGAACTAGTTTAAGGGAGTCCTCTTCGCCTTTCTTTGGAAGCAACCATCCCGACTTGGACCGGATTCAATTGGAGCCATCGAGATTGCTTGACATCCTCACAAAGAAATCGTCCTTTCCTGGAAGTTTCATTTCGATCCCAGAAATCCAAGCTCAAAACAAAGTTCTGAAACACTGCGGATTACCGGACGACGACTACCTCGTTCTCTTCACACCGAACTACAAGGATGCAATGATGCTTGTAGGAGAAAGTTACCCTTTTTTTAAAGGGAATTTCTACATGAGCATCATTGGTGAAGAACTTGATTGTGCGAGAGAATTTGCCAGTTACAAGGAATCAAAAGTGATATTGGCACCAGAAACATGGTTGGATTTGAGAATCAAAGGATCACAACTCAGCCAATATTTCAGGAAAAAATGTAAGCATAGCCCCAAAGGATTGTTCTCATATCCAGCCGATGTTAATGGAATGCGTTACTCCATGCATTGGATTTCGGAAGCTCATAGGAATTCATGGCACGTTCTGCTCGATGCAACAGGTATAGTCGTCGGACAAGACCGGTTGAACCTCGCGCTTCATCGACCTGATTTCGTGCTTTGTAGTCTGGAGAATACACATGCCCAACCATCAAGGATAACTTGCCTTTTGGTGAGGAAGAAATCGTTTGATACAACAACATCTACATCTCAGATCAGTGAGTGAAACATGGGGATTAGCTTATTCGAATACGTTATATCACATGTTTCAATTGTTTTAATATTTATAGCTATATATATATTGGAATTTTGAACAAATAAAATGAGTTTTTCATGAGGAATTAACCGTGGAATTAATGCTTCAAAGATATGATAAATGATCAGAATTGCAAAAGTTTCTAAGGATGTTTGCTGGGAATTTTAAGATCACGCTTCTCCTTTTCAGTGTAAATTTCTTGCACAATGGATCAAAGCAATTGTGAATATGGGAGTAAACCATAACTCTGGTTTATTTTAGGGGTGTGCTTAGCAGGGTTGGTATCTCGAATTACCCGATAATTTGGGTTCGACTTTTAAAATAACTCGAATTCGGTTCAATCATTATCGAATTGAATTTGCGCAATTTAAGCTACCAAGCGAGTCTAAAAGGGCCAAACTTTCATCATTTGGTAAGGGTTCAAGTGAAAAAATGTGTTTCAGAACTCCGAATTCGAAGGAAGCAACGTCTTCCCCGGGGTAGTAAGAAACATCGACTTCCATTCATATCAGCAGGAAGTGCTAATCTTATATCCTACCAAACATCATCGATCACAATTAAGATATCTCCTTGGCTTCCACAACTACCGATGTCTCCACCAAGTCTCGGTAGCTTATGTAGCCAAGGTGATATTATCACGGATTCGAACTTTTCTTTTCCCTTGTCATGGAGCTCTTTGATCATGGGTTTGAATAACTCTATGACAACATATTTTCGTGAGACAGTGATCCAGGCACAACAATCAAAATGTTGCTCGACAATTTTTTCCCATAGCAACGTCCTACTTGGTGTAGAAAGATTTTTGCTCGACAATTTACATAACTCAAACTTTGTGTGAAATTTGTCCGAAATTGTCATAATACTGAAACTATTATATTAACCATAATCTATTACAAATTTCTCAAAGAAACTCCAAGTGAGCTCAGTTTTGATTCAAGACTACCGGTTCAACTACCAAAATGTAAAATAAGTGCAGCGCTGGCATTATAGCATTCTTCTTTCACAAGAATCTGCAACAATCCAACTGGTCATATCCCCCAGCAGTTTCTACAAGCCTGCAAATTCATATACCGAGAACCAAATCATAAAGATTTAAAATTGGTATCCATCAATATCTAAGAACTACAAGTACCAAGTATTAAAACCTATAAATTTGTATTGATGTTATTCACTATCAAAGACATCTACACTATTAAAGGTTATTCACTCAAGAAACACACTTTGCTAAATCACAAAACATCAGAACTAGGCCACGAGATTGTGTTTCACAGCTATACACGAGGGCCGGAAATGAAAGCTAAATAAGAATAGCAGCCTCAACTATTGTCTTAAATTTAGCAAAAAGAAACTAATAAACAGAAGCTGGATCTCAGAAGCAATGTCCCTATAAAAGAATAATTAGATTTAGAGGTAGTATAAAGAAAAAGGTACATCATAAACTCATTTGTCCGAACCAAAGGAGAAACTAGAAAGGACCCGACCAATGTTTTTTAGATCCAACATAGCATCAGTAATGCTACAGATGATACAAACACACATGCATATATCAAATTCAACATAGCATCACTAGGGAAGATCATAAATAAAAGATTCGATGAAATCGGAATTCGAAATAGTCTTAATCCTCGGATCCAAGCAAGACCCAGGTGAAATGCTAGTTTGTCAAAGAAGGAATGAAGATGCTGGTTTTACAAGCATATAGAACAAAAGACATTACATTTTAACAAATAAATCGAAGGGCCTCCAGTGGAGAATCAATAAGCCAACTAAATCTTCTAAAACTACAGAGCGGTTAATAAGGTAATCACTTAAGTACAATGGGTTAGGCGAAATTTTCCAATAAATTTCGTTCGTAAGCAACAGAACCAAATTCAGTTATATGAAAAAAGTCTATTGCTTCAAAACTTGATCATTTTTAGCAGATTGACTATAATTCTTCTTCCATAAACACAGTAAAAATCATCGAATTTAGATTCATGCGAAAGAAAATAACCCGTTTTAAATTAAAACTTGCATGCAAAATCATACAAGGAAAATTACCTAAGCAGATCCGACGATGATGTTGTTGATAGGAATAAAGATGAGCTTAACGAAAAACCCGACAAATCCCATCACCACGAAACCAATCGCTGTACGGAACGCCACCTTCGTGAACTCTGTATACAAAGCAAAAAAAAAATCCCCAGAAATCAGATCCTGAAAAAAAAGGAAAAAAACCAACAGATCCAATTTTGAAAAACAAGAGGGAAGAAGAAAGGGGATACCTTTACGATCGGGCTTGTGGCAACGCTTGACGAGGCGGACGCTTTCCTTGGCGAAGTCTCTCAAAGGATCTACGACGTTGTCAAGGGCGTCCATTTCTATCTCTCTATCAAAATCGAATGCTAAGATTTAAGAGGAGAGAATTCGAAGATATTTGTTTTATAGGAGACGGACGATTTTGAGAGGAGGCGTGGTGTAAATGCAAGTTCATAAAACGTCATGGGTGTCGGATTCGGCCTTATCTGTGTCAATGGGCCTCTGGCTTGACCACCTGCCACCTTCGGCCGGCTTAGCCAACCTTTCCTTAGATTTAGACGGGCATTAGGCCAAGATTTTGGACCGTGATTCGGTTCCAAAATTCAACCCGGCGACCTTTTCCACTTTTCATATATATGTTGATATTAATAATATTATCTTTTTAACCAATTCGAAATTAATATGAGACAAATCTTCAATCAAGATTTAATCTTTTTATCGAGTCTCCTTGTTGATGGTAAGAGGTGAGTTACGAAAGTTACAGACGATTAACTTATTTTAATCTGAACAGTTTAATATGATTATAGATTATTCATTCTTTTTAATTTAAACAAAAAATCATAACCTGTTATTTTAGGAAGAATGACGATGACAAACATTATTAGAGAGAAACAAAAAAAGATAATTCAAGAGAGATCAGGTCCTATCTGTTGTGCCGGAAGATTTGTATATTTTTTTTTTGGATAATTAAACATTTAAATTACCTAAAGATTTGTATATTGATTCTTAGTGCGTGCAACATCAGATCATGATCGTGATTGTTATTTGTAAGAGAAAACGAATTGAGCTGATTATTAAGTAATGGATTTTGTCCTGTATGGATTTGGCAACACTCCGATCAAAGGAGTGTAACGATGTAGAACTCCAGAAACTTGGACAAGCGCAGCGGAAGATATCGAGAGGAAGTGCAGCAAACTTGTCCAAAAATGGATATAATGACATAATCTTCTAAATATACTGAAAAGCTTCAAGAATTAAACATTACTCATTATATATATGATATCCGACATTTCACAAATCTGGATAAACTGCTACTAATGGGAAAGCCATAAACATAAATGATGACAAGTCTTACAATTAAAAACATTTGGACAGCAAAAGGAAGCTCTTAACTATGGTGTTTCTCAGGACTCGAATATAGATAAGCAAATATATTTTCCATCTTTTTCTAAGTTTTTCTACGTATTCGGCGAATCACATCCATATAATGCATTGGATATAGGTGTGAATGCTTCAACAAAAGAAAAAGAATCGGAGCAACATAGATCATTACCGATAGTCGATCTCCCAAAATAATGCACTTGAAAATTTGTTCTTTCATATGAAAATTTATAAAGATGCACAATGTCTTTTAGAACACAACAAAGGGGGATAATTAATCCCAGAGCTGCACAACATTTGATGATATTTTGATTAGGCAAAGTCATAGCAGCAAAAGCCATTTGTTTTGCTGCACTTCAATTAGTTAAGGGTCTTTCCTAAGTAAATCACATTTAAAAAGTAGCTTTCCATAACCAATGGCAGACAGGTTCACATTCATAAACCACAAGCAACCAAAATTCCCAATTGATTTACCCGAGAGCATCGGGCGATTTGCCACACCATCGAGCAGCTATATTGGACCAATGAATTGCTTAGCTGCAGAAAACAACAAAATTACGTAAGAGTTCAGACAATGGCTGGTATGAAACAATGGTAAATCGCGTGGTAAAGCCAATCCTCTTTCTTTTAATAGACAACCCCACAATTGATGCTCAAATGGAAATATAACTTCGATTTTCCATTTTTGGATATACAAAATGAGAACATCCTTCCAAAGTGGCTTAAACACTAGCAAAATCACCGATTAATAATACAATAATAAATATCAGGCCAGGCAACCCCGAATTACGAAAAGACATGACCAAGGTCAAGCCCTTGGAACACGAAGATAAAAAAAACTAAGAAAAGCAGCAAGAAGAAAAGGAGATTGCATCACAGATGAAAGGAGAGTGCTTTTACATAACCGAAGGGAAATAAACAAAACCAGCATTCTTAACATATACGATAATTTAAAAACAATGCAATGATTAAAAGAAATGTCAGACAGTAAAACATAAAATGCAAGTGTAAAGAATGCAAAAGTAATAAAAACAAACATGCCAATAAGATTAACTATATATATCCTGAATTCCCGATTGCCACATGATTATGTAGTTAAGGAAAAATATTTGGTTCGAAGGAAGTAAAAAATACAACAAGCATAAGCACAGTTGTTGGACTACAGATAAACAACTAAAATAAAAAAGAACCAACCAAAAACCAATCAGCATTCAAGCATGCCTAAGTCCCGTGCCCTATCCCAACTAACGTTTCACCTGTTCTTCACTTCTCTTGCCCATACAACCTTTTTGTTAATCAACGAATTCAAGATGGTGTACAGTACCATTTTGTTCATCACCATAGGAAAATATTTGGTGTCATCTATGTTCTGTCAAGAAATGTCTTCCACGAATTGCTCAAAATAAACTCCATTTTCTGTTGTCAAGCTTTCTGAAGTCTTAATCATCTTGTTTAACAATGTGAAACATAATTTCTCATTCTAAACAGGTTCTACTGTTCTTCCCAAGCTTTCCTAAATGGAAACTATTGCCAGAGAAAAAAAATTATGTTTCATCATATAAAACTAAGGTGTCTATAGGTACACCACCTGCTTAAGTTACACGAAAGCATCATGTGCTACGATGAAGTATCAGCAATATCATCACTGCCTGGCATCAAAGCTTACGGTAAAGCTATGTT